CTACTGACCCTAAAAACATTTCACCTTAGTCGGATGTATAGTTTACGAGATCATTCCCGGACAAAAAAGTACCCAGGAAGAAGAAGAAAAATAATAATAATAATAATAATAAGAAACAGAGTAAAAACAATATGTTCCCCAACTTCGTTTGGGGAACATAATAATGAAATAATGTAATATGCTGGATCCATATGCTCCAAGTTTACCAAATGGATGGAAAACATTCAGCTTTTAGTAAGAATGTTGGAAATTAAAAGATCTTTCAAAAGTCAGTTTCAAAAGAGTTATTGTTAAATGCATATTTTGTTGGTTAATTTATATTGGTTGTTAATTTATATTTCTATTTAAGGATTTGGTGTTGGACATAAAGAATTATATATCAAAACCCCGGAGAATCAGTATATTGAACCTTTTCTTGATGTGACTCGATACGGACTGTCGGCAAAAAGGGGGCGTGTCACATTTAAAATGAGGACGTGTGATGTTGACGAAAGTTTGCCACACCTGGGATTGTCCGAATTTTCGCCCGATGTTGAAACTCCTTATTTCCAAATCATTTTCAGACCTGGAACTGTTCAACTAAGAAAAAGGAAAGGGAGTGAGTTAGCGCTGGTTACCAAGGAGAACCTGTTCAATTGTCAAGATTTTCATCCTTTCTGGTGCAAATGGAGCAATACCGCGATAGAAGTTGGCCAGGGGTACAATTTTTCGGAGGAAAGCATGTTTATGCAATGGGATAGGCAAACAAATTTTACAGTTAACTTTATTAGTGTAGCGTCCTGGGGTATTAGTACCGAATTCGTTTTCTTTTATTAATGAAATGAGAGATGGAGCAAGTTTATCTACCGGTGAAAAAGATTTTTTTTCTCTCGGCATTAGATTTGCAAAACAGTATCTTATGAGCAAGTGACATATTCTTTCGGTTTCATTCGAATTGACACTGCTCTAAAGACTGTAAAATCTTAAGTTACAAAAACGTCATATCGCACGTCGAATGTACGGCGACAAATGTTTGAAGATACCAACCAAAAGCATGATATCTAAATAAAGAAAAAGAATTCCTCTCGTGAAAAGTTCTCACAAATTCTGATGACAAAAAAAATATTCTGAAGTTATAATTCGTTATGAGGAATAAATTTTGTTATGGATTTCTGATAGAGCATTTGCATATAAGAGTTGGGGGAATAAACTTTATTATCATGAACGAAGATATATTGCATACATTGGAATGTATGTGCATTAATGGTACATTACAATTTTTTGGTAAAACTGCACTTAAACTTTATCAATCTTATCAATGCTTCAAGCAAGAATGATATTTTAAAAAGACAAATGGAAAAGTCTTGTTTTTGGTTGAATATTTCATCGCTTTAGTTAACATATATTTGTGACTGAGCGACTTTAAGGTGTCTGTATTTTCTCAAACGCCGAGACAAACATTACATTTCGATACCGTTTAATTAAAAGAGAGTATAGGCTTAGTTATTTTAAGTATTGAAGTTATGATTAATTTCGAAAAAAATCTCTCTGAGACTGAATGAAAAATTCGCAAATGGGACGCAAAACAACGTACAATCAATTCAATACAACCTATTGTTGGATCGTATCTAGAGATAGTCTGACATGACTTGTGTATATACGACCAAACAATAGGTTGTATTAATTTACAAACATGATCATAAGAACGAAAGTGGAATCCTAGAAATGTTGGCATTAAAAAGGGTTTGTTAAAATTGTTGTAACATCAACTGAATTGTCAGTAGCTTGTCTCGATAAAAAACGATCGAATTAAAAGCATCCTATTCGAGTCGAGTACTCTACATTTTACCTAGTTAGAAATCGTCACTTCTGTTGCTTTCAGTTTCAGTGCTAGGTATTGAGGCCATTTGGTTTACTGCTTGATTTATATGGCAAGTTCAAATCAGCAGGCGATTGAACGGTTCTGTTGAGGACCTAAGCTGCATCGACTGACAAAGTTTGATGATTATAAGCCATTTAGTATCCAAACTATTAAAATAATTAAAACCATTACATTTCAAACGTAGGTCACAGTGACCTTTTTCAGATGATGTTCCTCCAGAACACAAGATGCATCACCTTCCAAGGTTTGATGATTCTTAGCCAGAAAGTACGAACCATTGCTTTATTCTCATTTTCTTCGTAGGAGCACATGTAAATTGTCATGGCATATTCGCAGAGCAATGGAAATCTGATAAGTGTATCTTTTGCTGAATTAGTGACAAAAAATAGATGACCCCACTTTCACTTCTTACTGATCAATCCATGAAGTTTTTGGGTTAGGTTGTTGCCCCCCCCCCCCCCTTCATATCAATTTGGGTCTGTCTGTCTGTAACACTTTCATTTTCACAAGATATCTCGAGAAGCCTTGGAGCCTTTTGCTATGAATTTTTACATAGCAGCTTCCTGTGGCCTAAGGAAGACCCCTTGATTTAGAGGTCAAAAGTTCAAAGGTCAGTACATTTTATTATTATTTTATTCCACACCTCCCAATGGCCTAAAGAAGACCTCTATTAATGTTGAGGTCAAAGGTCTAGGTAAAAAATTTATACATTATCTTTGTGTGTAAAACTTTTATTTCCGAGCAATATCTGAAGAAGCTTTTGCAAAGAAATTTTATACCATAACTTCCTATGGCCCAATCCATCCCTCGGAATGTGACCTGACCCCCCACCCCACCCCCACCCCCAACACACACACTTTTTACATCTGCACATTTTTTCCTTAAGCAGGGGACAAATATTCTCTGAATTAGATTGTTGTCTTTGAACTGATCTTTTAAAACATGGAAAACTCAGTCCCAAATATAGATCTCAAAGCTCTTTGATTTCTTTGTTTCTCTCTTTATTACTGACAGATTCATCCGTTATGATCAAAATTTAACAAATTTGCATGTTTATCAACTTTACTTGTAACATACGAGGGTTGTCCCGTAAAATCGTGGACAAAGCGTTTTTTTCGAAAAGTAATGGGCGCAATAAGCTGAAAATTTTAGTAAATGTTTATTTATCATATTTAAGTGCATGATAATTTTTTTGATAAAATATAGGCAAAAATAAAGATTTTATTATGCTTGAATGTGTACGAGGTATTGTCCTACGGCGCACGGTCAAAAAACCAAGGTTTTATTAAAGAATACACAAGTTTGGATTCAAAATAAAAGTTTTAAATACATAAGATTTGGATTAAAATTACACTAATTCAATTCCACAATTAATTTTGTAGTCTCTGTAAAAATTTTAAGGCATTTGCTTAATTTTTGGCAATTTCTCGGGCATTTGAAATTGGAAAGTGGTAAACACAACACACGAAAAATGGCGACGTTTTATGACGTTACGGCGCACCGGAGAACAGTTCAGTTTTATTTCGATGTTGTAATGACACATAGAAGAAAAAAGATTATAAAGATATCACCATATCTTAAATATACAAATGAAATAGGTGTTTTCTTAGTGAATTCTTTTTTGATCGAGCCCCTGGGGAGTACAAAACGTACGGACAAATTCCTAATGTAATAGCAAAAGACGCTGTCACAGTAGACCGCCGATATGAGATTTACTATTAGTTGAATGATGGTGAGAATATTGTCCGTAACTTACTAATAAATCTTCAGAAGATCGCATGAGGGTGCCATTTGGTTCCTCGGCTGTTTATGGAGACTAAAGAATGTGTATTAATGAAATTCCTAAATTTAAGTCGGACTCATCCAACTTCATTTTCAGCAAAGATAAAACGTGACGCTGTTTTAGACACTTTGACGTTATAATCCATGCGCCGTAAGGTCATACAATACATGGCATAAAATCTCATAATTTGTTTATTTATGCATATATTTATCTGAAATTTGCTGTGTATATTACTAAAATATGTACTAAATAATGGTGAAAATTTCAGAACGCAGTGATGTTTATTTTTCACACTAGACAACTTGTCCACGATTTTATGGGACAACCCTCGTATTTATAAAACTTTAAACATTATGGTGTAATAAAGTGCCACGCCACAGCATGATACGCCCGTCAAAAAATTACACAATTATCTTTAACAGTTTAGAGTGCAAGAAAATCACTTCAACCTTGATTCTAAGATTTCCATGATTTTTCCATTTTTTAAAAAAATATTTCTTTATCCATCCCCTGTGCTGTAGGCATAATTATAACAAATATTACATAACTGATAGATTTCTATACTGTTTGTGTTAGACTTTGTCAAATGCCGGCCATCATAATAAACAATATCAAATTAGTCTTAACAACTTAAGCTATGCCAAATAGATTTTGAAAAAAAAGGCTGGCCATCAAATGACATATGCTTTAAACTGACCAGCAGTTCTTCTGTCTAATCCCCAAAGGATACATATAAGGCAGCGCTTGATCAGATAGCCTTCCTACATTGAACTCATTAATTAATCTTTGACTGGATGCTTGTCTACTCATTACTCCCTAAATATTAATGGATCTGCACTTTTTATCCTAAAACACTTTTAAAACATAAAAAATACTCCATGATTTTTAGATTTAATGCCAGACAGGTTTTATATTTAATTCATATGGACAAGTAGGCATGCTGATTCAACCCCACCCCTTAAAATTAGTTTTTTTTTTAATTAATATTACATAATATCAGATTCTTAGTTTATTTTGCAACATCAAATAAGTTTTAATTACTTTTCATCAAATTCATTTTAAAACTTAGGCTAGCCAACAAGAGCTATTTTTAATCTAACAGCTAGGCTGGCTGTCCATTTGCCCAATACTCAAGGGATTTAGATAACAGCAATGCTCTACTAGTAACCTCCTCACACTAAACTCATTAATTTCTCTCTAATTTGACATGCAACTTTCTGCTATCAAAATTATTCTTGACCAGTGCTTGATAATTATGCCCATGGGATAAACTGAATTCCTCTCATTAACATTGACATTTGTTAAAGATTGCTGTAAAGTATATGATGAAAAAAATAAGTTTTTACTTGATTTAATACTTTTCAATAAGGATACAACTCTATTTTTTACATTTCTAGGATTATGAAATTTAAAGTTTAAAAAACTTAGTTTTTTAAAAAAATTTTCTAAAATTAAAGGTCACAGTGACCTTGAAATAGGTCGCGACACACCTTCTACCTAAGATGTATACTTTTGCCAAGTTTGATAGCTCTAGGTCTAATAGTTTTCTAGTTATGAGCCGGACAGGATTTTTCCATATTTGGCCATAGCATCTTTATTAAAGGTCAGAGCGACCTACTTTTTGTGCACGACACACCGTCTACCCAAGAAGTATCAGTTGACAAAGTTTGATAATCCTAGGCCTAATAGTATTGAAGTTATGTGCCGGACACGAATGGACAGACGGACAGACGGACGGACGGACATGAAGCCTATAACATAATACGTCCCGTCTTAAGACGGGCGTATAAAAATTACAATTAAAAAATGAGGATTAATTCATGATAATAACCGTCTAGACTTGCTACCAAGGGTCTCTCACAAGTACCGGTATGCAGTAGACATATTCTATGGCATGAGTTTTTACATGTAAGTATGATATATTTTGTTAATTTTTTTTGTATTTTAAAAAAATGTAAACATGTCCAAAGTTTAAGCATATTTAAAAATGGTTATAAAAGTGGATTCTTTTAAAACAAAAATTCAAATCTGAAGTTGCATACAGGCATATTAGTTTCATCTGTGAAGGTACCAAAACAGGTTGTTTTGCATATACAAAGATAAAACATGAAATACCATAAATAATGGATTTGCAAGGGAGATAAACGATATTACCAATATAGTCTGTACTTCCTTTCTACTATATTAGCTGATACAAAAATTAAAAAATACAACTATCATAAAACATAAATAAATTAATAAAATAAACTATTGAAAATGGGTTCCAAGATGACAATGTTAGTGCAAGTAATAAAAGTTCTTGGAATGATAAACAATATTTCACCTTCAAACAACAACCATTATCTTGATATAAAACACACCTGACCAGTTTGCTATAAATAAATAATACATTAATGTGACTACATTTCTTATTGATTACTTGTAGATTATTTCAAGCAACCACTTCTCTACATTTTCTTGCTTTTACATGTATTATTATTATTTTTTTGGTTAATAATTTTTTAATTTTAAAATCAAAACCCAGTTAAGTTTCATTGCTCATTGTCAAAAATAACCAATAAATAGTATAATATTATAATGATTACTACATGTACTTTATTTGGGTAGCCTGAGGTCCATTTTTAGCTTTTGTACAGCATTCTGCAGTGTATTAAGACTATCAGGTAAGTGACATAACACATTATACAGTGAAGCAATGATGTCTCATTGGATGGATTTCTCTTAATGCCCAGCAATCTGTATAACATGTATAACAAAAAGTACTGATGACAACAAACTTAAAATTAAGATTTAATTTAGACAACAATGCAAAAAGATTGTTTCTCTCATGTAAAATGGTGATGTCCATGCATTCATATATATAAAGATAACAAATATGGGAGATTCATTAAAAATGGGAGGAAATTCTTTCAATGAGGTGAAGAACTTCCTGATGTAAAAATCAGTCCTCACTCGAGGTTGAAGAGGTCATGACCCCGTGGAGCTGGTCAATAACACTGTTACAGAGGTCCTGGATCTTTGCCAGCTGATGAGTTATTTTGACTTGGTCTATAACAGACTCAATGCTGTGGTCAGTGAAAGCCCTCAGGAAAAATATATCTAAAATAAAAATAAAACAAAGTGAATTCTGTCTAATCCTAAATTTATTCCTTTGAGCAAACAATCCATTAAATTTTCAACTACATTAATTTTTGCACAAAAAAAAAATATCAGGGAAAATATTTTCTTGTGTTTTAACTTTACCTACCTTTAAGTAGCATGTTTAATGTCCACAGAGCCACATGTACAAAGCTTGGATCAGGAGATTTTAGGAACTTATCGACATAAAGAACTATACCCTTCCTATTAGCCTCTTTCAACTCAGCTGGTAAACCTACAAGTGCCGTACAACATAACTTCATTCAGTTCTCAATGAATCAACATCAGTGAACATGAAATCAAAAGATCTAGTAAACAATTTATACATATAACAATTATCATATGCTGTTCGTTTTTATTCATCATATACAATGTATTTATACAGTTTTCACAATTCAGTATTCAGGGCCAACAACTCTTGCTGAATCCCAGTATTTGTCTACTCACTGACTAATGCCAGTTGTCCCAGCGTGCCAGCACTGTTGTACTGTATTTCTCTGTGACTAGACAGTGAAGCCAGGGTCACCAGTTTACTGAAGGCTTTACCTCCCTGTAGATGTATCAGCTTGTATTTTACATCATCTGAAACCAACAAACGAGGTTTTTAACAGTATTTACACATACATAACTAAATTAAATCATGAACATGCAGTCTCCCAGATGATTAATTTACGTCACAGGGTTTATGCCTCTTCCATTGTTCTCTCTTGTATCTGATATCAAAAGTTTACCTTCGTCAGCCATGACGGCTAGAGCTGCTGTGACCTCTGATAGGACAGGTATCCTTGACTCCAGGTCAAGAAGGACAAAGGTCAAGGCCTCCACACAGTCATTCTCTATCAAGGTCTACAAATAAAGTACTAGCATGGATAATACTACCATTTCTTTCAAATTAAAGGGAACTTTAAAAAAAATTGTTTGAAATTATTGTGGCTTAAAATTTATTATTTTCCAAAGTCTTTGTGATATCCTTACATACTGATTAACCAGTTATATGGTCAAGACTTTGCTTAATTATAAGATTTACCTGAGAGTTTTATCCATCTAGCAAATACTCAGTTATGTAGGAACATGAGTAATTTTAAATTAAAATCAATATATAATGTATATAAACATATTATTGACTGAGGGTTACTTCAGTAAATTACTTACTCGTACGTATTCACTGACAGCCAAATTGCGTAGTGTTCCTGCTATGTGTTTTTGGGCTTCTGGATTAGAACTATCACAGACAACATGACAAAGATCTGGTACCAAGTTTTCATGTATAAAGGCTGCCTATAAAAGACATTATCAACATAAAAAAGATCTGATACACTAGTTTACATGCATGAAAGCAGCTCTCAAAGACATCAGTAAAAAAAAATACAGATTCATTGACCTGTAACACAAGATTTTGTGGACTTTACATGTACATACATGTATCATAATAAAAGTTTCATAGCAATTTGACCATTTCAATAGTACCATATATCTCATTTGCAAAATTCTATCAAGTTGTTTCATTATTATTGCCATTTTGAAAGCAAAGCTTGTCATATCTTAATATATTTTACACTTCTACCATTTTGTGGTGAATCATACATTCCCTTTTTCTTTAATACCAGGTTCATTGATATTTGCTACCATTGATAAGGCCAAAAAAGTTAAAAGTTGTATTTCAAACATTTTTATAAAAAATTTATTCATAAAAAGTAACCATGCCATGTCAAAAAGATATATATTGCGTTTATATGAAAAGAGGCATAACTCAATTTTCTTTTTGAACTTGGACAATTAGTGATTTGAGTTACTTCCTTTCTCAGTAAGTCACTAAATTGATCTTTTATGGAGGTCTCCTTTTAAAGAAGTTCTGTATCTTTGTTTGATATCTTACTTCATTGAGTTTGTGTATAGAGAGATTCCTTAGACATGCAGCAGCTGCAGCCAGTGTGTCAGACCGGCAGGAAGTCAGAATGTGGTGTAATGGGGGCAGGGCACCGTTCTCCACTGCCAATAACTGGTTCTCATCTGTAAAAAAAGACCAAAAATTGATGATTCATGGCTTATTCCATAATATCAATCTATTTATAACTTCATGATTTGTTTTGTTGGTGAATTAATTTGATAAACAATTACACTCTTAGAAAATGACTGATTCTACACTTTTAATTATGACTGTAACATCTTCCTACCATCTGATGCCAGATTCCTGAGAGCAAAACACGCCTGACATTTTACCTGTAAACCAAACAGAAATATAATACATAATGCATATACACTTGTACATGTAAGTACATGTTGTACATGCCATGAATTTGTTCATACTAGCTATGTAAAATGAAATTCTAGCATTCTGTAAATAACTCTTAATCCAAAGGTCTTTACCATTTTATTGCTGATTTGATATAACTAAAATTTCGTTATATATTGAAATGCAGTAATGCATTTCCAGTGTTACATTAAAATTCATACAAATAAAATCTAATTTAAATCAGATGTTAGATTTGCTTCCATACTCACTTCGCTGAGTATGCAAGTGGATCCATCTAATTTTAATTAGATTGATACAAATACCTGGTACCAATCCTAAACTGATAATTCTGTTTTTTCATGTTACACTAACCCTGTCTTTCTTTGAAGATAAAAGTCGTATGAGTTGTCTGATGACATCAAAATGTCCCACCGCGATCATCATGGCTCGGTGTTTTTGATTGACAGCGATGTTACTGAGTGCGGCTGCACTATAGTACTGGATATCATAGTCTGACATGTGGATCAACTCCACCAGTGTGGGAATGGCGCCATGATTCACCAACTCATTCCTGTTGGACTCTAAAAAGGTAAAAAAAAAATAAGAAGCTCCACAAGGTTAAATTTTTACACTGGCAACTCCTTTCTTTCTCTCTCTCTCTCTGGGTAATGGTTGATATAAGATAGAGTACTGTAAATCACTTTTTATTCGCGAGAACTTTATTTTCGCGTAATTACGCGAGACAGTGTCCTCGCGAAAATAAAATTCTCGCATATAATAGTATTCCTTAAGATTATATAGAGCTATAACCAGAATTCGTGAAAATTTTGTCTCGCTAATCAAGAGTAAATGACAATCTCGCGAAAATAAGGTGTCGCGAAAATTTAGTGATCTACAGTATTCTGTCGCTAAGACCGATTTCCAACTGATCTCTATATATGAGGGCCGTTCAATAAATAATGTCCTCGGTGCTCAGAAAGAAGCAAACAGACGCTTTTCAATGATTTAGTCTTCATGATTTTACTTATTAATCTCTTTTAATTAAAACACATGTCCGTAACATTTGTTATCCAATCTCTGATGGTTTTTAGAACTCATTTTTGGGTATGACCCTTAGTATACTGGAAAATGGCAGATCCAATGATTTCCTGGACTTGTTTCTTCCTTCTGAAAGGTGTTTTGTCAAGTTTGGAAATAGAAACAAGTCAAAAGGTCAAAGATCTGGTGAATATTGTTAATGTGAAAAAACATTAACTTTCTGTTTATCCCGAAAACCCCTTTACCCTTCATTACATGCGGGTTTGGACGCTGTCATGAAGAAATTCAATGCAGTGGATTCCTGATTCTGGGTCCTTCCTCTAATAAACCTTTCGATTTTATTGCAAAAAAATTGCTTTCTAGACTCCTCCAGAAATTAAACTGTCTCCCCGAATACAGATTTTTTCAACAATACCACTAATATTTAAGAAAACTGCATATAAATCTGTCTTTGTGCTCTTGCATACCTTTGCTCTTGTCAGACCTTTGCCGTTTTTATCAAGTACATCTTATGGTAAATTTTGTTTTGAGGGTTTTAAGCAATAGATTCATGTTCCAATATCTGTTTGATTATAAAACAAAGGTGGATAACTACAATTACTGATATTTTAAAATAATTGTTAAGACTTTCGTACATGCTGACGTTTTCACTTATTTTTCAAAATATAGGGTGACCTTAGAGTACCAAGCTTTCTTACCGTCAAACTTTTCTTAAAAACAGTGTAAACTACTCCCGATATGATGTCTATCAAATTTGCTATGTGTCTTAAAGTCAATCATACTTCATCAAATATTATTTGTTGAAATTTGGCAAAGAGTACATAAGTTGTTAAATTTTTGTTGGCAAGAACGGTACCCATTTTTGATGCCCATTATATAATTTTTTATCATTGAAATCCACCTGCTCATTTGTCTATAAAACAGGCATTGGTTGCTGTAAATGTCACATATTTCAGTGAATATTTCTTTGGGATTTTTAACAAGTTTTACAGCAGCTTTAATGAAGCTTTTATTTTCACTCTAGTTTACTGATTCTTTACCATTCATTTATAATGCAGTGTCTCGAATAGCCCTTGTTTCCCCGCTTCTCATGAAGAAACTATTTGATGAAAAGTGGTCACATAAGCTGTTATAAATTAATGAAAGATTCAATAATGAGAGAAAGTCAAGTTTAATGTCATATGATATCTGTATTGTAGGTCTTATAGTTCAGGACATTATTTATTGAACAGCCCTCGTACATCTTGTAGGGAAAAATATCGCTGTAACTCAGTTGAATGATTTTTTTTTGGTGGATATATTATACATAGATACTGAATTGTGTGCACACAGCATGAACAGAAATCAGAGTGATGCTTAAAATTTGAAGAAGATGAGTTTTGCCCAGCAGTGATGGACAATAACTAGAAAGCATTTGTAATCAAGATGTCAAACATGCAACAGCAGCCATATTGACATTCAGATGCATTAAAGTACAACCATTAAATAATTCAAATCTATTCTTAAAGAGAATATGTAAATATTTACTTTCTAGACCATGCACAATACAAAAGCCTTTGTTTAGTCTCCTCATGTTCTGCTTTGATCAAATATTCAGTCATGCACATATTGCACTGTGCAATTACACGTATACAGAAAAGTTCAATACAAAAGGCACAGTGGATTGATCCTATGCCTACTTTTACCGGTGTACAAATATATTTACATTTACCTTTGTAAAAATGTTGTGTGTTGAATGTGTGTTTCTCTGATTTTTTTTCATTTATTTGCATAAAATCAATAAAATGTATTCTTCAATAAATGAAGAGAAATCTTTTATCATGAATCACAATATTAGTAATGGAATCAGAATGTCATTAAGATATAGCAATGTATGGTAATGTTCAATTTAGAAAAGTCCCTGCACAAAAGCTTTCTCCAAAAAAATCTTGATTTCAGTTCAGTTCTAGCTATAATGGTCATACTTTAAAATTATGGTCAGTTTAAATGTCTTATCCAGAGAGGTAAATATTAAACACCTAAAATTACACGTAACAAGGTTTGATTCTGATCTTTTATCGAGGTTAGTTCTCATGTAAGAATGATTTTTAAATTATAACATTTTCACCTTACTTTTTGTAAAAAGTGTACATTCTATCTAGATGCGGAGAAAAATAAGTAATCTATCGTAATGTATCTTAAGCCATGACCTTGACACATAAAATGGGAGGTGTGTCAGGCCGACACTTTCTATATTTAGAAAATTATTGATTTCTAGAGAAGTATTACACAACTGACCTTGAAAGACTTTTATAAGAGTATAAATACATAATCATTTTATTCTAGAAAAGACAACAAAAACAGAAACTCGAAACAATATTTTTTCTAATAGTCTTAACTTGTTAAGGGATAAGATGACTAACTGCTGTATAAAGTTTCACAGCTGTGACACAAAATTCTAGGGCATATGTCATAAAGTTTTATAAGCAACAGTACAAACGAAGAAGTAAGGCAATAGACTAATGTATTCACTTATTTTTTTAAAAAGAACTTTTTTAAATTTGGAAAATGCATGAACAAATCTAATAAATATGAATATGATAAATCTACTTTTTTTGACATGCCACCTTAATTTGCTAGCCAAGGGTTTCTGAAATGCTACTCTCCTCATAAACCCTTGGCTTACGGTGCTTTCAAATGATGGGAGTGTTTCTGTCATGTGATCTTGAATCTTACCAAGTCATAGTTCCACTAAATCAAAAGTTATGAGCAAGGTTAAAGTTTTTGCAGACTAACAGACAAACTAACAGACAGACAGACAGACAGATGGACATGACAAAAACTATATACCCCCGAAACTTTCAGGGCCTAAAAACTCCCAACTACTTTTGACACCATAGGCCAGGGGTTTATGAGGAGAATAGTGTCTCAGATATCCTTGGCTAGCAAGGATGTGACATTTCTGTATTTCCCTATAGGTGAGAGCTAGAAAAAAACAACTTTATTTTAATAAAAGGTAAATGGCCTTATGTAGGGTATGTGGTAAACTTACGTATATGTGTTAAATTCAGTATGGCCCCTGCAGCATTTCTCTTTACACGGAGATCTGCTGATCGCATTAGATGCAGGAGGGGCTTGACAGCATTACAAGACACAATGGAATGCTTATTAGCATCTGGAAAAAAGAGCATAATAACAATAAAAAACATTATGAGGGTATTGACCTATATTTTATACTCGTGTCACATATTTGTTTTAATTAAATTCCGGGAACTCAAGACCATTAACTGAGAACAATCTTAAAAATCTCAAATACCAGTACTAGTATAGTCATAAAATCATTTTTCATCATGTGTTTTTATTTGATTATACCCATATTAAAAAACTATTAAAAGAAAAATTAAAATCTGCATTTTGACTTTAGGCTGCATGGACTATCCTCATATTGTGGTCTAAGGGTCAGTTATATGAATATTTAATATCTAATTACCAGTAGTACACAAAGACAATTAATTAACATACAATTTTGAACTATGCATGCAACTAAAATCAACTTCGAAGTTATGCTGGTTTTAGCCAGAAAAGGAAACATGTCCTTTTTGAATTTCTATTTTCATTAGCTTTAGCATTTGCTTTTAAAAGTAACCCAAAGAAAACAGGATGTTTTTTTTACTTTTCTACCTCTTAAACAGTTTATTAATTCAAGATCATTCAACAACAAAGAAATCAGATCTTCTATCCAGTCTATCACATATCTCTTAAAACTATATTTCCTGTGTCAATTTAACACAAAAGGAAAAAGTAATTTTAAAAAAACACACTCCTTTCCTGGTTTAACCTTTCAAGTCTGAACAATATTTTTTGCAGCAAAAGTTACATTAAATGCGGAGAAATATGATATATCTCTAGGTTCATCTTCAATATACTGATAGCATCTAAAGGTATCTCTCAGATGGGGTTCACTGGTGCAATTTGTTTACAACCAACAGAAATATGAATATCACACAGAACAAAAGGAATCTAATATTAATCTAAACTTTATAAGGTGATCTTTTATTGAGACAGAGTAGATAGTTCTGTGCTTATAGAATCATAAATGTCCTTTGTGAGTGATAAGAGGCTACAAACAAGAATCTTTTTTTACTGAGATTTTTAAAGATATTGATGTCATTAAGTTTTCATTACTTTTTAAATATTTCCTCTTGAAAAAAGACAAGGCACTTCAATTTGAACAAATTTCTATCCTCTTCACCTCAGAATGCTTTATGACAAGTTTGGTTGAAAATGGCCGAATTATTGTCACAGTGGTTCTTGAGAAGACAATAATATACAAAGTCTACAGAGGACACACATAAGTGAACAAATTACAGACAGAGACTGGGCATCCTTTGATCAGAAAAGTTCTCATGAAACTGCAGCTCAACTGGAAGTAAATATATCACACCTAAGGAAAGAAACACTCTTACCAGTGACTCTTACCTGTGGTAGATAGGGACAGGATGACTCTTACCTGTGGTAGATAGGGACAGGATGATTCTTACCTGTGGTAGATAGGGACAGGATGACTCTTACCTGTGGTAGATAGGGACAGGATGACTCTTACCTGTGGTAGATAGGGACAGAATGGTAGATACTGACAGGATGACTCTTACCTGTGGTAGAAAGGGACAGGATGACTCTTACCTGTAGTAGATAGGGACAGGATGATTCCTACCTGTGGTAGATAGGGACAGGATGATTCTTACCTGTGGTAGATAGGGACAGGATGACTCTTACCTGTGGTAGGGACAGGATGACTCCTACCTGTGGTAGATAGGGACAGAATGGTAGATACTGACAGGATGACTCTTACCTGTGGTAGAAAGGGACAGGATGACTCTTACCTGTAGTAGATAGGGACAGGATGACTCCTACCTGTGGTAGATAGGGACAGGATGATTCTTACCTGTGGTAGATAGGGACAGGATGACTCTTACCTGTGGTATCTAGGGACAGGATGACTCCAACCTGTGGTAGTTAGGGACAGGATGACTCTTACCTGTGGTATCTAGGGACAGGATGACTCCTACCTGTGGTAGATAGGGACAGGATGACTCCTACCTGTGGTAGATAGGGTCAGGATGATTCTTACCTGTGGTAGATAGGGACAGGATGACTCCTACCTGTGGTAGCTAGGATGAAGATGACTCTTACCTGTGGTAGATAGGGACAGGATGACTCTTACCTGTGGTAGATAGGGACAGGATGACTCTTACCTGTGGTAGCTAGAGACAGGATGACTCCTACCTGTGGTAGCTAAAGACAGGATGACTCCTACCTGTGGTAGCTAGAGACAAGATGACTCTTACCTGTGGTAGATAGGGACAGGATGACTCTTACCTGTGGTAGCTAGAGACAGGATGACTCTTACCTGTGGTAGATAGGGACAGGATGACTCCTACCTGTGGTAGATAGGGACAGGGTGATTCTTACCTGTGGTAGATAGGGACAGGATGACTCTTACCTGTGGTAGATAGGGACAGGATGACTCCTACCTGTGGTAGCTAGGGACAGGATGACTCATACCTGTGGTAGATAGGGACAGGATGATTCTTACCTGTGGTAGATAGGGACAGGATGACTCTTACCTGTGGTAGATAGGGACAGGATGATTCCTACCTGTGGTAGATAGGGACAGGATGACTCTTACCTGTGGTAGTTAGGGACAGGATGACTCTTACCTGTGGTAGATAGGGACAGGATGATTCTTACCTGTGGTAGATAGGGACAGGATGACTCTTACCTGTGGTAGATAGGGACAGGATGACTCCTACCTGTGGTAGATAGGGACAGGATGACTCTTACCTGTGGTAGCTAGAGACAGGATGACTCTTACCTGTGGTAGATAGGGACAGGATGACTCCTACCTGTGGTAGATAGGGACAGGATGATTCTTACCTGTGGTAGATAGGGACAGGATGACTCTTACCTGTGGTAGATAGGGACAGGATGACTCCTACCTGTGGTAGCTAGGGACAGGATGACTCATACCTGTGGTAGATAGGGACAGGATGATTCTTACCTGTGGTAGATAGGGACAGGATGACTCTTACCTGTGGTAGATAGGGACAGGATGACTCCTACCTGTGGTAGTTAGGGACAGGATGACTCATACCTGTGGTAGATAGGGACAGGATGAATCTTACCTGTGGTAGATAGGGACAGGATGACTCTTACCTGTGGTAGATAGGGACAGGATGACTTCTACCTGTGGTAGATAGGGACAGGATGATTCTTACCTGTGGTAGATAGGGACAGGATGACTCTTACCTGTGGTAGATAGGGACAGGATGATTCTTACCTGTGGTAGATAGGGACAGGATGACTCTTACCTGTGGTAGATAGGGACAGGATGACTCCTACCTGTGGTAGCTAGGGACAGGATGACTCTTACCTGTGGTAGCTAGGGTCAGGATGATTCTTACCTGTGGTAGCCAGGGCAGTAATACAGCCACATGTATTACACTGGACTTCTACATTCCTTGAATGAAGCAGTTCTACCAAAGGATCCACTATACCAAGTCTCATTAGAATCTCTTTGTTGGTTTCTGCAAATAGAACCCTGATAATGTCACTTTTTGTGTCAAAAATTAATACAAAAAAGTACATGTACATTGAAAATGTCTGAACACTTTGCTAGTGTATCATGTTTTCATGTTTTATTCATTTAATGTTCCATCTTAATCTGCATCCCCCTTTTTAAAAAAAATATGAGTAAATTGTTCATAATATCATGAAAGCTGTATAGTATCCTTAAATGTCAGTGCTCAAGTAATAAGAAAATTCTTTAAAGAAGCATGTTTACTGATAGGACATGTTCATATACATTTAGAAAAGTTGAAAAAGTTTTTTGTTTTATAGATTTAATCAAGTTGAGTTTTTCTAGATTTATTTTTTTCCTTGATTCTTATATGTAAGTAAGAAAAGTTTAATTAGAATCCCTACAAGGCTAAAGGATAACAAAATTGAATCAAATTTACAGCAACACCAGCCCAATCATAATCTGATCCCCCTTGCCAGCTGGGTATGATAAGATCTCTGATGTGCTACTGTGTGCATGTTAACCTCCCAGTAACTGTGAATAATCGTAATAAAATCTTAATACATCCCACTTTCTCTATCAGTTCATCTTTCCCTATGGGCAAATCTTAGTAAAATTTTGTGTTGATGTAAGAAATAAACCACATAAACAAGCAGGTTTGTAAAGATAAAAAAATAAAATAAAATAGTAAAAAATTACAAGAAGCTGTTTATATTTTTATTTAGTATGTATAATGACTGGTTTGTACTGTACATCACTTTGTTATTGAGAACAAGCATCGATCAACAGCCTAAAAGTAGTTCTTACACAACTGCTCACCAGGTAGACACTTACATTAAGAAAAAAAGCCTTCAATATAGTACTGGCCAATAATGCTTATGATATACTGCTCAATAATGAAAAAAACACTGAGGGCTCGATCAATCAAATTTTATAAAAGTACACATAATTACAAGCTTTTATTATGAAACCCTTCTTTCTTTGGTCATGGAGTCCAACAATATGATGGTCACATGCGACAGATGTGTCAAGGCCTATGTGAACCTTTCTACACACGACTTGGTGCCTGGTTGATCATTGACAATGACACCCAGGTGTTGCCAAACAAAGATTTACCTAGCAAGCTGTATGGCTTTCCTTTGTTTCATTTAATTGTTTAATCTTGGGAACCATTAAATTGATCATATTTTTACTTCCCTGCTGCAGATGATGCAGTAGGCTTGTACTAATATAGAAACCAATTATGATCTTAGAGCATTGAATGGATACATCTGTGAAAATTGTCAGTGATGTACTAACAACACAGCCTGCTATAAGTATTAACTCAGGTTCACAAAAAATATAAACACAGATCCAGGCTAAATGGAACAATGAAATAATTCAAATGATTTAAAAACATTGGAAACAAACCATATTGATCATTTCAACTTTCTCTTTAAATTCATCAAAATTATAAAAACCCACAAATGTTCAATTGTTGGTTCTCTGGTGCTTTAAAATAAAGTTCACAAAAAGTAGGTCTTTCTTATATGCAAGATGGGATTTAACTTGAAATTGTGACAGTAAAAACCTCAATAAAATTTGATATTTTAAACACAAATTTCACCTCCTGTGAAGTATTAGTGAAATCATCACATCCTAGTAAATTTTAATTTACGAGGGGCGTTCAATAAATAATGTCATGAGTGCTCGGAAAGAAACAAAAATCGCTTTGCTATGATTTTGTCTTAATGATTTAACTTAAATATTCTCTTTTAATTAAAAGACATGTCCATAACATTTTTATTCAATTTCTAATTGTTTTTAGAACACAGTTTTGAGTATGACCCTTCGTATACTGGAAAATGGCAGATCCTATGATTTGCTGTACTTGTTTTTTTCTTTCTGAAAGGTGTTTTCCTAAGTTTGGGAAATGAAACAAATCTAAGATTGAAAGATCTGGCGAATATTGTTGATGTGACAAAACATTAACTTTTTGTTTACCCAAAAACTCTTTTACTCTTCATGGCCTGTGGGTTTGGCCGCTGTCAGGAAGAAATTTAATGTAGTGAATTCCTCACTCTGTTTCCTTCCTCTCAGAGACCTTTCAATTTTTTGGCAAATATTTTGCTTAATAGACTTCTCCAGAAATTGAACTGCCTCCCTATATATGTATTTGAACAACAAGACCGATAATATTTACGAAAATAGCGTATAAAACTGTTTTTGTGTTCTTGCACATTTTTGCTCTTCTTAGGCCTTTGCAGTTTTGTCAAGTACATCTAATTCTAAATTTGCTTTGAGGGTTAAATGCAAAATGGATTCAAGTTGCATGATCTGTTTGAATTTCAGAAAAACGTGGATAAGAACAATTTTTGATTTTTTAAACATAATTGTTTAGATTTTCTACACGCTCTCGTTTTCACTCATATTTATGAATATAGGATGACATTTGAGTAATAAACTTTTTTACAATCAAATGTTTCTTTAAAACAGTGTGAACTACCCCCGATATGATGTCTATCTAATTTGCTGTGTAACTTAAAGTCAATAAAACATAATTTGTGATAGTTTGTTGAATTATCGCTAAAATACATTGGTTGTTGTATGTCCTTGTTGACAAGGAGGGTACCCATTTTTGATGCCCATTATATAATTTTTGCTAATTGAAATCCACTTGTTCATGTGTGTATGAAATAGACATAAGTTGCTGTAAATTTCATACATTTCAGTTAATACATTTTGGGGAAATTAACAAGTTTTACAGCAGCTTTAATGACGCGTTAAGTTTTACTCTAATTTACTGATTCTTGA